CTGTCTTGTTCAGGTTTCTAACTCTAACCACTGCTTCTTCCAGCACACTCATGAAGAGGGAAAAGGCCAGGGCCCTAGTGTGGGAAGCAGAAAGTGTTACAGGTGTGGCTGTTGGCCCAAATGAGGGAGATTTGGACTGAGTTTTCCAAACTGTGTTCCAGGAGATGTTAACATGTCTGCCAAGGCAAAAAACGAAAAAAGAAAAATGGTTGGAGAGGAACGGTCAAAAAAGTTTGGAAAACTCTGCTTTCAACAGTTCTCACCTGGAAATTCGTGTTGCATATTTGCAAATTAAAGGTGCCAAGAACTCCTGTAAGAAAGGAACCTGTTTAACTTCAGTTGAGCCAGTATTTTCCATGTTTATTGAGCACAGACCCTTCCATCTTGACACATTCAGAAGCAATACATGAAAGAGTGTCCTGCAGAATGTCAGGCTGGGAAACAGCTCTACAAAAATTGTTGGAGACTTCCTTACCCTCCACCTCCTGGGTTCTCCCCTCCCGTCCACTGGCCTGCTTGCCTTCCCCTGTGGATCCAGACCAACCTAAACACTTAAACCTAGTTCTGTCTTGGACAGGAAGTCTGAAAACAGCCTCTGCTTTATGCAACCCTGGTTAGTGTCAGGCTCCACTCTTGATATCCTTGGTCTCTTGCCTGCACACCATTTTTTTGCCCAGACTCCATTTGTTGCCAGACACAAGTCCTTGACAATTCTCCTGAATTCTGGGCCTGGTTTCCTAAAATCCACACTCTGGGCTTGCCTCGCCTCCTCCCCAGCCCTTCCAGACCTGAGCCTGGCCTGCCAGGTGGCACACCCCTACCTGCTGCTCCCTACATCAGCTATCTCTGGGTGTGACCTTAGACCTGCCAGTTTCCAGTACCTGTGCCCTTCCCTCTAGAAGCATTCCTGCCCCTCCCCTGGGTGTTCCATGTCTTGTTCTTACTCAGATGCCAACTCAGCTCTCAGAGAACTTTGTTCATTTTCAGATGTTTTTCTAAAGAGTTGCGTTTTTTGGTAATAAAATAAGGAATGACAGTTGCTGGTAATAAATCTGCCAGGGCTTGGATGGAGTACCCCATCTGAAGTCTCTGCTGGATGGTGACACTGTGTATCCGGGGCAAGTGACCACCACAGTGTGTAGATGTGACCAAAAGAGTACCGAAATTGGTGGCAGGCAATCTGCATTCTGCACCTATATCTGTGACCTTGAACAAGTCCCTTGACCTCTTTGAGACCCAGTTTTCTGGTCTGTAAAATGAGAATACCACCTGTCCTGCCGACCTTAAAAGATAGCATTAGGAGGATTAAGACGAAATCAAGTACTATGAGCTCTTTGAAAGTGCACATCGCCATAACAATGTAAGGCATTATTATCAGTATTTTATGACAGTGTCATTCTGCCCACATCACAGGCTCAGGATGGGGGCGGAATGAAGGTTTTGTTTTGTTTGAGACACAAATGTCTTTCAAAGGTCACTCTACACACTTAACTTATGAAATAACAGTGACATTGCTGCCCACTTCCCCCACTTCACCCCCTTGGATTAAGGGTTTGAGTGAAGCGACCCGTTCAGCCTGTTGCTTTGGCACAGAAGCATGGCCATAAACCTGATGGGGTTGGTCACTGGATCAGGGAGATCTGAGTTCCCTCTCTGGCTGGACGAGCACTGTGTCCAGGGAAGGAGGAATCTGCACTTCTCCACAGAGCAGGCCTTCCCTGCCTCGGTAAAAGCCGCAGGCCTATTGATGAGACTGGAATGGAAGAAGGATGTAGGACCCTTCGGAGGAGACACTGGCACAGGGTGAAGGCACTTGCTCTGGAATCAGATGACACTGGGTCCCAGCCTTGCCTCTTCCAAGGAGACCTCAGATATAGAACTTAGTTTCTCCAGCCCTTATACTTCTACCTGGAGACAATGGTGATAGTGCTGTAAAAACTACTAACATATTGTATGACTGCAACTAGAGGTGGTGGAGACGAGACAGAGGCGGCAGCAGAAGTGGCAGAGGTGGTGGTCAAATGTTGGTGGAGACAGAGGTGATGGTAATTGTGTACAGCTGGTTTGGATTCCAGAGGAGAATAACTGGGTCTGCCCAAAAACTACCAGAAGTAATGTCCAAGCTAGAAAAAGAAATTTGAACCTCATAGGGCCCAGATCACAGCAAAGACCTCCTAACAAAATGGCCCTTGAGCTCAGGTGACCATGGGATCCTAGTGACCACCCTCCTGGAGTCTAGGCAGGCTTTGGTCACAAGGGGTGCTCTGCAGAGGCCTCAGGGCACAGACCCACCTGCTGTAGGGATGTTCTAGGATGCCAGCAGAGGGAGAAGTGGACATGCTTGATTTCTCTTTCTGTCTGGTCCTGGACTCCAAGCTCAGCAGGCTGCAGACAAGGCTGGGAACTAAATTCTTATTAGTTCCAACCTTCTAATTTTCACTTTCTGGTGAAGTAGCCTTCAGCCTTTCTAACCTCCATTTGATGAGGCCCATGTGGGAGGCATTACTTCTGACCTCAGAAGGATGCTAGGTTAAGTCAGTAAATGATGACAGCCCAGCTCTTAGGAAAGACGAAGCACTCTGATCCTAACCATGGCCCAAGGCCCGGCATCATCTGAGAGCTTGTTAGACATGCAGTCTCAGGCTCCACCCCCGACCTACAGAAACAGAATCTGCATTGCAACAAGATTCTTAGGCGATTAATATTCACCTTTTTTTTCTGGTGTCAGCAGGGCCACATTCCTTCTGGAGGCTCTAGGGGAGAATCCCCTTCCTTGCCTTTTCCAGCTTGTAGAGGCCTGCATTCCTTGGCTCCAGACCCCTTGCTCCATCTTCAAAGACAGCAGCATATCATTTAAAAAGAATTTAAGAGGCACCAATATGGTGAGCTGCGTCTGGGCTTACAGTCCTTCCATGGTCTCTGGTGTTGTCTTTCACAGAAGGAAACCAAGTATTTATTCCTGTTCATTCAACGGACATTTACTATGTACTCACCTTGTGCCAAGCATCGAGCTAGACTCTGAAGAAATGGCAGTAAGCACCACCGGCACAGTCTAGGTCCTGAAAGAGTGATTGCCTCGAAAGGAATGGAAAAGGCCGGGGCAGATGCTTCCCTGGCTGCTCTCAGGGAGATGCCCAGAGCGCTGGACATTCACTGTGCCATTTTCTCTATAGACACCTCACCTTGCTGTTGACAGCAGAGCGTAGTATGACTGCAGGTGCTGGAATCAGAGCCTGGCATACAGTAGGGACATACTGTTTGTAGGTAGAACGGAATTGCTCACCTGAGGCTGACTGCCTCTCCTTCCTCCTGCCCTTCTCCATTCTCCCTTTTTCTTCTTCCCCTCCCTCCCTCTTCCTCCAGAATCATCCCGAAGAGGCCTCCTTTATTGTTTCCTGCCATTTTCTCTTGTCTTCCCCAAATTCCCATGTGCACTTTACCAGTCTATGGAACAACAACAGACTGGGATCCAACAGATTTCAAAAGTTTGTTTTAAGCCAGGATGACATACACACATCAGCTCCCCCTGACGCACAGCACTGAGGAACATCTATAGCTTTGTAACGTGACTCTTCCTTTTGAACCCTCTTTGCATAGTTGGGGCAAGTCAGTCACCCGCCCACAGGCGCCAGGACTCTGGGACTCCTCCAGCCGCCAGGCTCTGGGAAGATTAAACACAGCTGTAATGCTGACGGGCCGGTGGCTCTGCAGCTGCATGACATTTTGAAGGTCCAAGGGGCCTCTCCTTTTCTGCCAATAGTAGCGAACACAGCTCAAACTCCGGGGGGGGACAGGGGAACACAGAGTAAGCAGGGCTGTTTGAAGTGCTATAATCCAAATTCACATCCCAGCTCTGAGGCACGGATTCTAGAAATTCATTCCTACAAGGGGAATACAGCATTGGGTTGTTCCAAACTGGTGGCACAGAGCGGATGGTCTATCCAAGTGCCTGAGCCCATACCCCACCCCGGTTCTCCCCAACATACACCCAGAGCTAGACTCCTTGTCTGTGATCAACGTCCTGGAAGAGGCCCAGACCCCAACCTTCCCTGTAATTGCGATGGATGTTGTGTGACTCCATGCCAGGAGGACTGAACTTGATCTCTAGGATAGAATATCCAGCATAGATTCTCTCTTACTGAAAGGAAAGAAAGAAAATTGCCTCCGGCTTTCCAACTGGAAGAAATATAGACAGACTTCCTCTCTCCAAGCCCCTGTTTACAGCAAAGTTGACGTAGATGGGCTAACGTGTGTTTACCCAAGGCACTCAGGTTTTCAAAATACAGAGAGGCTGAGATGGGGGAGCAGGGAGGAGAACAAGAGGGAATTAACGTTGGTTCAGAGCCTTCTCTGTGATGAAGTGGTGCTTGACCTCCTTCATTCTCATGACCGCAATACAATTTGTGAAGAAAGCAGAATAAATACCGTTTTAGAGATGAGGAAACAAGCTCAGCCAGAGGAAGAGAAACTCCCTTGAAATACCCAGATTCACAGAGCAAAACCAAAACTCAGAGCCCCACTGGCTGATTCCAAAGCACTTTCGTCTACAACCCACTGAGTTCAGGAAACCAACAAAGCTCCAGAAACCTCCCCCAGGGAGGGCAGGAGCAGAGCCATGCACGGGAAACGGAGGCTGGTAATTAAAGCTTGGAAAATCCATGACATCCTCGGAAACTAACTGATAGCTCACTCCAGTTTGTTTCCCAGCAGTGGAATTGGGGCTCAGGCATTGTCAGTCCCGCCTCCTGCAGGACGTGATAACTTTCATCATCCAGACCCAATCCTGGCAGGTGTGCAGCCTCTCATTCACCAGCCATGGATAAAGTTACGCTTCCAGCCACACACCTGTTGCAACAGACACCCACACGTCCACTAGCCCTCTTTAAGCCATCCAGTTACCACCCTGGTTCTCAGGTAGCGCCTGTTTCTAGGCCTGGAGCCTCTGCCTATTTGGCTGGTTCCTGATATGAAGCCTTGCCCTTGCTTCACCCAGTTCCAACCCTGATGAACTTTCGGGTGGCTACCCACCTACCCTTGCTTCTCGTCTATGCCAAGAGACTCCCCTTTCTTTGTCCCATACTTGGATCCTAGCAAACCCTCATCATTTGCCAAACCTAATTACGATGTGGACACAGGAATTTTTTGGCCACCTTCCTCAGAATCCACCTCCACAAATGGGTCACTCCTCCTTGTCCCAGTACCTACCTCATCCCCACTTCCATTGCTAAGAATCCAGCCTGCCTTCCAGCCCAGCCCATCGAGCCACGACTATTCAGAGGTGCAGACAGTGACGGTGATGTGGCTGCAAGGACTTGACACATTATTTAGCATCAATGTGTAAAACATGTAGAACTTTCACTGCCTGACAGTAAACACAGAATTACAGAATTTAATCACAGCACTGGGACAATTAATGATTTTTCACCAATAACTTTTCATTACATGATTTATTGATTTTAATATGACACATCTAACTCAGGGACTCCAGTCCCTGACCACATGTAGTATTGATTTATCTTCCCGTTGCTGAAATGACAAAGCACTGGGAGGCAGACATGTGAAACATGGCCTGAAAGCCCAGTGAGGTTGACAGTGCGTGTGGCGTAACATCCAGCTGTACCCCTCATGGGAGGTGATGCCCTCACATCGCCATGGTCAGGAGTGCTGGAAGATGGGAAGGAGAAGTATAAGAGGGGCCGGGCATAGTGAACAGTGAATGGAGAACTCAAATTGCTCATTGACAGTGTTTGCTCATGCAAGGCAGCCATGAAGGGCATTACCAAATAATGGGGCAGGACGCGATAACTCATTGACAGCCAGCAGCTTAGAATCTTTGGCCTGTACCCAAGAGCATAAGAGCACCTGGCTGAGACCAGCATCGACTCTGACCCAGCCCGCACATTAGGCACTGGCATGCCTAACCCGGCCTGCCTATCCCAGCTGGCTACTCCACCCTCCTCCTCAGTGGGGCCCCACCAGCTTCCTTACCTGCTATCCTTGGTTGGCCATGGCTCCTCTTTCTGGATGGGACTTCTCCTCCTAGGATGCAACATACACTGGAAAGATGCCTTAGGGCCTCTTCAAAGCCAATACCCCAGACAGGCCAGGACATACCTCCCCAGCCTCCCCACGACTCTCATTGCAACCCAGAAAGACTGCCAGCTCTTGCTTACTACCCTTTTCAACGTTCACCTGGGCTCCTTCTAGAGCTGTGTTTCTCAGAATCACCTGGAGAGCTTGTTAAAACACAGATTGCTGGGATCCACCTAACTTAGTAGGCTTGGAGGGAATCTAAGAATTTGCATTTCTAACAATTCCCAGGTGACGCTGATGCTGCTGGTCCCAGGACCACCTTTGGTGAACCACTGCACTAATGAGTGGCTGAGAGTGCTTTGAATCAGTGGAAGGCACAGCCAGCACTTCCCCATCCTACAAAACTTGCCTATCCTGAGCCCAAGACGGAACCAACCAGACAGGAAAATAAGTAAACAGCTCTGCTCTCTCACCCAATATGAGACATTGTTCACCCTGGGCAGACGCATGGCTCTAATATTGTCCTTGAGTTTGTTTTGGGGCAATCAGCAATTAAAGGAGACTTTTATGGCGCTTTAATAACACACCATGTGGGATGGGCCCCAACACCTCTCACTGAAATCAAGGCAGCTGCAGATTCCAGGTTCTTAGCCTGGCAACTGACAGGGGCCAGAGTGGTGGCCGGATGTCGGGCAGCCCCACCTGGGGAAGGCATGCTCTGAAGTTCCTCTATGGGCCTTCCCCGAGTTGCTGCTTCCTCCTGAAGCAGGCCTCCAGAACTTCATTCATTTACAAAGCCAAAGGAATGTGGAGGTCCACACACTGGAGGTAGCGTGATTCAGCAGTCTGCTCTGGCCTCCCGCATTCTGGGGCAGAGAACACTAGGCTTGGAGTGAAGGAACACAGGTTCCAGGCCTGCTCATCCCTAACTGCATATGTGACCTCAAGCAGCGAGTGTCTCACTATTACTGAATCTGTTATTTCTTCTGTCAAGCGAAAAAAATGAATCCGTCCTGTCTAATTTATAAGGTTATCACAAATGGCATAATGATGCTGTATGACATTATTTATTTTTATTAGTATTGTTGTTATTTTTTTCTAGGACAGGATTATTTGCCCAAAAGCAGCTTCACAACTATTCTGGGACACTTTCCTGAGCCCCTCCCTCCTATATTTTTTGTCCGATGGTATCTGTTTATTCATCAAACACTGTTTGAGCCTCTTCTCCTTGCCAAGCCCTGCACCAAATACCGCACTCCAAAAATGAAGCTGACAAGATTCTCAGCCTTAAAGAGCTGTCAGCCTGGTGGGAGTGCTCGCGAGTGTCAAACAACCCCCTTCCAGCGGATGTGTTGATAGGAGGCTGTGGGGAGGGCAGAGGGCGGAGGGCGCTCTGAAGCACAGGTGAGGCCTGAGGCAGAGACAGTTCCCACCCAGTATTTGTTCTTCCTTCTTTCTTAGTAACAGAACTCCCAATTTTTAGTTTGATATAGGACCACCCAGAGTAAAGACTATATTTTCCATTCTCCCAGGCAGCTAAATGTGACCATGTGACTAAGTTCCTGCCAATGAAATGTAATTGAGAATGGTATGGGGATACTTTTAGAAAACTTCCTTAAACAGCAATTGGCATGTGCCCTTTCCCCTTACCCCTTCCTCCATCCTGTTGCCTGGAATGCAGAGGTGTTGGCTAGAAGTCCAGCTGGATCTTAAACCACGAGGATAAGGATGTTCTTGCGATGAGAGAGCAGTGAACTGGAAGGGATCTGGATCCCTAACAGCTTTGTGTACCAGTCCTGGGCTGCCCATCTCCAGAAATCATTAACACGAGAGAAAGGAAATGTCTGTCTCATTTTTAAGGCACCGTTATTTTGGCTTTTCTGACATATGCAACTGAGCCTAATTCCAGCTAATTCAAGGCCAGATTGTGAGTGGCCTGAGGACTTGGACTTTATTTTATAGGCAAGAAAGAGCTATAGACAGTTTATAAACTGTGGAGTAACTTGATGTGGAGAGAAAAAGGAAGAAAAAATAAAAATGACCCAAGATGTAAAGAGATTGTGGAAACTTATTTCTGTTGATAGAAATTAGGAACTCCAGTTTAGAGGGAAGGGTGATGAGCACGGTTTTAGACTTGTGGATTTTGAGGCAACTGCAACGATTCCATGTTAAAGAATCCAAAAGGCAGCTCGGTTAGAAGTGAATCTTGACAGAGAGGTAAAGACCAGAGCTAGAGCTTTGAAATCACTCACGTAAAAGTAATAGCTGACATACTACAACATGGATGAAACCTGAGGAGGTTATCCTAAGTGAGATAAGCTGGTCACAAAAGGACAAATACTGAATGATTCTGCTTATATGAGGTACAGAGAGCCATCAGATTCATAGAGACAGAATGTAGAATGGCGGTTGCCGGGGCTGGGGGAGGGGGAAATGGGGAGTTAGTGTTTAATGGGAAGAGAGTTTCAGTTTGGGAAGATGAAAAAGTTCTAGAGATGGATAGTAGCAAGGGTTGTACAACAATGTGAATGCATTTAACACCACTGAACCATACCATGGTTCATAAAAATGGTTAAGATGGTAAAATATACATACATACATACATACATACATACATGAATAAATAAAGGAAATATCTAGTAACTTTTTTTTAAAAAGTAATAGCTGAAACCCCGAGAGTAGATGAGGTTTCCCAGGAAAGAGGGGAAAGTGAGAAACAAGGGCAGACCTTTGAGGAACAAGAAGGAAACTGATCTAAAGAAAGAGAGACAAGGGCGTGGGCGAAAGGGCTAAAGTGGCACAAATATATGGTGACAGATAAAAATTAGACTATTGGTGGTGAGCATGATGTAGTCTATACAGAAACTGATAAATAATAACATACACCTGAAATTTCACAATGTTATAAATCATTATGACCTCAATAAAATAATTTTTTTAAAAAAGGAAAGAGAGATAGTTGGACTGAAAGGTGGGAGGAGAGGAAAGAAAGACCCTGTGTTACAAAAGCCAAAGAAGGAGAGAATTTGTGACATGATTAGGAAACTTTTGGAAAGTAGCAATGCCAGAGAGAGAGAAGGAGAGATTATTCAACAAAGTCTAGCCAAACTGTTTTGCTAACAAAGGAGTCTCTGAGCCAGCATTCAGTTCAAGCCTGGAACTGCAGGTGGTGACCATCTAAATTGGATTTTCCAAAGCTGGTCGAAGAAAACGGCATGTGCAGCAAGACTGGGCGTGCATGAAGAACAACTCAGGCGCCCACGCCACTGTAATCACTTTCAAAGCAAAAGACTGCCTGACAGGAAGCACAATGGAGAATCCGTCAAATCAGAAGTCAGTTTCTGAGCTACGGTAGAAATTCAGAGAAATGCAGAGTAAAAAATGCCTGCAGCAGGCTAAGGGAAATGCCAAGGAGGAAGGCGATAAATGGTCCCAGAGAGAAGGGATTCTAGAGAAGAATCGTCACTGACGTGAAACTGCTCACTCCTCTTTGAGTCAGTCTGGGGAGGTGACTTTTAACACTTGGTCCATCTGTGGTCACTTTAAGAACTGAAGCGTGTTAAAACAAAGCCTTAGCTTAATGTCTGGGAGCAGAATTCCTCTTAGGGAGGAAACTGTTTTCCCATAGGAAAGTACCCTTATAAACCTTCAGATAGCAGGTATGGCTGGAGGCAGAGGTCAGTAGGAGACAAGCTAACAAAAGAGAAAGTTAAACAGCTGCGTCAGTGGAGGGGTGAGAGAACAGAGAGGAGGAACTGCAGAGTCCCCAGACAACTTCTGAGAAGAGAGGGCTCTTCTAGTCCACTGTGATCTGTAATGAAAGTCTGCTCCTTCTGTCTTCTCAAACTTTTTGAGGCTTAAGTACAAAGTAAAGGAATAAAGGATGAATTCCATGTTGGCACAACACCACGGTAGCAATAAAGGGAGAGGCCCAAGGCAAGAGCAAAGAACAAGAACTCCCTGGAGACAGGAAGCTGGAACCTGAGTGACCACGAGAATGGGAGCGGGAAGACCCCAGGCAACATCTGGTATAGATTACTATAAAGGACTGGCTTCACAAATAGCTGTGCTGAGGCTCGGGGCTGTTGTAGGAGCCAAACAATCTTTCTTAGCAATTTACCACTTGTGTCCTTATTCTGTCTCCTTCAATCCTATGTTACAAGTTGCAAGGATGAGGGGGTGGTACACAGTGTCATGTGAAACTGAGAGATCAAAGAAAAAGAGAACTAAGGAAAGGTCATCAGATTTGCAAAACAGCAAGTCACTGATGATCTTGGACAGGGAATTTTTGGCAGGAGTGGGGCCAAGGTCACTACATGCAGTGGTGCAGATTGTGCACTGCACAAAGGGTACCCATCTTCAGGGCACTACTGCCTTCCTAGTCACCATAGAATGGATGTTCATGACAATTTTCCTTCCAAAAGGAGAAAAGTGCCTTGAGGAATGAACCCCTTTTCTTCTTCTTCTTCTTTTCTTTTCTTTTTTTTTTTTTAGCCCTGAGCTAACTACTGCCAATCCTCCTCTTCTTGCTGAGGAAGACTGGAGCTAACATTTGTGCCCATCTTCCTCTACTTTATAAATGGGGCGTCCACCATAGCATGGCTTTTGCCAAGTGGTGCCATGTCCACACCGGGGATCCAAACCAACGAACCTCGGGCCGCCAAGAAGCGGAATGTGAGAACTTAACTGCTGCTCCACCAGGCCAGCTCCATGAGTTCCTTTTCTTAATTGGCACAAAGCACCTGATGGGCCAGCAGCAGCCTTGGTGGGAACAGAAGGCAGATGGTAAGAAGGTTATGAATGAGTTGCTAGTGAAGAAATGAAAGCCATGTAATTGGAGCTCCTATGTAGGATGTATTATTTTTATCTATTGCCATATAATAAATTACTTGAAAATTTAGCAGCTTAAAGCAACAAACATTCATTATCTCACAGCTCTGTAAGTCAGGAACCCAGGAGCAGTTTAGTTGAGGGATGCTGGCTCAGGGTCTCTCATAAGGCTGCAG